CACCAAACACGGCCCCCCCCCCCGCCCACTTCTCTATACCCTTTTAAGTTTCGTAATAAACGTTTTTTTTTAGAGAGTAGTCTTATTGTTCAGACTTTTTCCAAGGATACAAGTATGAACTTCCTACAAACAGAATATTACGTTTCCCTTTTTGATCACCCGATTCTCCACCAAGAATTTGAACAGATTGGAGGTGGTTATGTGTTTCGTAGTTATCAGTAGTAGTGATGGTGATGCCGACTCTATGATTATCAAGAAACTGTAAGTGCTCAGTAGAAAACATACCAATTTTAGTACAAAAATCATTCTTGTCTTTCAGCCTATACTTTGCCATTCTGGTAAAACTGTAGTAAGCGGCGGATGGTTAACACATATTAGCCGAGATGAACAGGTGACGGATTAGAAAAAATGAGGGCTGAAAAAAGGGTCCTTCCTCTGCAGGTGTTGGGAAATGACATCAGAAAACGGGGCATAATCAGCCTTTTTATGAAGCGATATAGTACGAACACTGCTCGTACTGTTTTTCGATGTGTTCTACAATATCAGCTGGTGAGACGAATGCCCCTAGGAGGCACACAAATCTTTCGCAGATGATTACAACCCATCATAAGAAATATGTAGTCTTTGACTTACTTAGATTAGCTTCAAGTGCCACTGTCCGTTTTGGTAGATACACAGGTATCAAGGCTAAAACAATAGTTGCTACTAATAGCAAACCCAATATCCCGAAACAGCATAAAGCAATTAGTGGAACTGCGGAAAACCATCTACGATTTTTTCTAGAAGAAATTACAATATTAATTACTTAATCCCTACTTGTGCTAACGAGTTACACACATTGCAGTTGTTGATGGCAGCGCAGCAGGCACTGCCTCAGCTGGTGGATTCTGATAATACATTCTCCAGTCGTATGTTTTTATTTATGTACTTTTCCTGAAAGTTGCTTATTTATAGCAGATAAGAAATTACTATTAAGAAAGTCGACATCCCTTTGCTTTTTGCTTTAATAACACTTTTATAAACTACCCCTGCTGGAATTGGATATACTCGTAGCTTGTATTAGGCGATAGAAGAGAGTGAATTATAGATCGCCATTCATGCGTATTATCGTTTTTTTCTCGACTTTTGTAGGTGAATATTGCTGCTTCATAGTAGGGATACCGTCAAAATTGTTACCACTTGAAGCGCTTCAAGCGCTTTCTATATTTTGATACATTTATTCACGGAAATACTCACCTATAAATCAGTAATGTATAGTTTGTCTTTTCCGAATGAGAACATACGTATGAAACGAATTTCAAGGACTCAGCTTCATTGAAATAACCTGATGTTCTTATCGGACGTGTATATGACACCTTGCTTTTACATTCAAATAAGAAACAAAACAAAAAGCTTGAAACTAACGGCTGAGTGTTATTACGAAAGCAATTTTCGGACCGCTGATTTAAATGTACTTATCATAGGTATATATGATTTAAGATGAATTGACATGCCTTCTGGAGTGAATACAAATATTTCATCATTAGTTAAAATCATACAGTACTCCGTAAAAATAACGCCCACTCTGTAACTCAAGAACTATGATAACTAGGAACTTCTAGTTTTGTGTGGAGTGAAATAGATGTCTTTTATTTAATTAAAGATTTAATTTTAAGATCGGCGACGAAAAGACCTGCGACGAATTAACCTAGCACCGAAAAAGAGAAAATTCAAGACTAGGCCGATACTAACTTTATATATGCGCATATATAAAAAAAAATAATTGGAGATGGAAGACTCATACCACCAGAAAAAGTCAGTTATAAAAGAATAAAAATAAAAAATACATGCACATCACTGTAGAGATAA